TGTTGCTTTTCCAAAGGAAGAAAAAAAAAGTTGTAGTAAAAGATGACAGCATTCCAGTCAAAGAAAATAGCATGACTACCAATCCTTTAACTCAGAGAAAACTGAAGCGAACTCATGTGAAAAAGCTCCACCTATAAAATTCTTCTATTGCTTTCCAGACAAACTACCATGACAATTTCTGAAACAGCATGCCCCAAGCACCAAACCCCTCCCCTACCTCCAAAATACTTTTAACTTTTCACATAAGAGGCATCACAAAAGGCTGAAATCACAAGTGGATACCACAAAATCTTATGTTATACTTGATGAAAGTATTAATAAACTCAAGTGTTGGGGAATCTATCGTTTTGATGGGATAGGCATTGTATGAAACTAATTTCAACAATCCAACCGTCAAACTTGTTTATATATACTTTGAGATCACATAGACCAAAAATCGCAAAAAAAAAACATTCAGATATCAAGTAACGGGACAAACCTTTTCGACGGCTAGAAACGAAAAATCACGTTTTAATGGTTATTTTAACTCTGATTTTGATGATTTTTTACAGCTACACTCTTTAACCCTATATGAATACAATGAACTAATTCGATCGTCAATTTAAAACATTTACACAAGTGGATACCACAAAAGAAAAAGGCAATGCAAGAACCCCAAAAGAAAAGTAAAAACAAAAAACTAAAAAAAAAGGACTTTGCGCGACGTAGGTGCATATGCGTCCCGCAAAGCTATTTTGCGTGACGCCGTTGCAGCTACGTCGCGCAAAGTCCCTTTTTTTTCCCTTTTGCTTATGGGTACAAAATAAATAAATCAAAATCTACTTAGTAAATACATATACCATTGAATTTGATGGGAAACGCATTGTACGCAATTAGTTTTAACGATCGAACCGTCAAACTTGTTTGTATATACTTGTTTATAAACGAAAATCACAATTTAACGGCTATTTGAACTCCGATTTTGATGATTTTTTACAACTACCCTCCTTGACCCTATATGAATACAACGAACTAATTCGATCGTCAATTTAAAATAGTGGATACCACAAAATCTTATGTTATACTTGATGAAAGTATTAATAAACTCAAGTGTTAGGGAATCTATCGTTTTGATGGGATACGCATTGTACAAAACTAATTTCAACGATCCAACCATCAAACCTGTTTGTATATACTTCGAGATCGCATACGCCAAAAATCGAAAAAAACAAACATTCAGATATCAAGTAATGGGACAAACCTTTTTGACGACTACAAACGAAAAATCACGATTTAACAGTTGTTTTAACTCTGATTTTGATGATTTTTTACAGCTACACTCTTTAAACGTATATGAATATAATGAACTAATTCGATTGTCAATTTAAAACATTTACACAAGTGAATACGACAAAAGAAAAAGGCAATGCAAGAACACCAAAAGAAAAGCAAAAGGACAAAAAAAAGATGAATTTGCGCGACGTAGGTACAACTGCGTCGCGCAAAGATGTAAAATCTACTTAGTAAATACATATACCATTGAATTTGATGGGAAACACATTATACGCAATTAGTTTCAACGATCGAACCATCAAACTTGTTTGTATATGTTTCGAGATCACATACGCCAAAAATCTTTAAAAAAAAACATGCAGAGATCAAGTAACGAGATAAAACCTTTCAACGGTTATAAACGAAAAAAGCACGATTTAACGGTTATTTTAACTCCGATTTTGATGATTTTTTACAGTTACACTCCTTGATCCTATATGAATACAATAAACTCATTCGATCGTCAATTTAAAATATTTACACAAGTGGATACCACAAAATCTTATGTTATACTTAATCAAAGTATAAATAAACTCCAAGTGTTAGTGAAACTAACGTTTTGATGGGATACGCATTGTACGAAACTAATTTCAAAGATCCAACCGTCAAACTTGTTTGTATATGCTTCGAGATCACATAAGCCAAAAATCACAAGAAATAAACAGGCAAAGATTAAGTAACGGGACGGCTATAAACGAAAAATCATGATTTAATGGTTATTTTAACTCCGATTTTGATGATTTTTTACAGCTACACTCTTTAACCCTATATGAATACAATGAACTAATTTGATCGTTGATTTAAAACATTTACACAAGTGGATACCATAAAAGAAAAAGGCAATGCAAGAATCCCAAAAGAAAAGCAAAAGAAAAAAAAAAGGACTTTGCGATTTTTGACGGTTGGATTGTTGAAACTAATTTCGTACAATGCGTTTCCCATCAAATTCAATGGTATATGTATTTACTAAGTAGATTTTAATTTATTTATTTTGTATCCATAAGCAAAAAGGCCAAAAAAAAAAAAAAAAGGGACTTTGCGTGGCATAGGTACAACTGCGTCGCGCAAAGATGTTTTGCGCGACGCAAGTGCACCTGCGTCGTGCAAAGTTGGAAAAAAGTGGTACAATATTCTTTGTTTGGCACCAAGATCTTGCGCGACGCACAAAACGTCACGCAAACATCTTTTGAGCGATGACATTTTGCGCGACGTAAGTTGGCGTCGCGCAAAACATCTTTGCGCGACGCAGAAACTGAGACGTCGTGCAAAGATGTTTTGCGCGACGCCACACTACGTCGCGCAAAGTGCCGTTGCGCAAAGGCCATTTGCGCGACGTTTTGTGTTTTGGGTCGCACAAACATACTTTGAGCGACGAAATTTGCTCCGTCGCGCAAACATGTTTTTCTACTAGTGAATAAAGGTCTTACTCAATCCATCTAATACTCTGACAACAATGCCTCACTTGTTAATAAGGTATTTTTATTGTTAGGAACAACTTTTACACAATATTTACCGAGAAAAACATTATCACAAGGAGAACACTAAACAACTTCTTTGGAAGATACAATTAAGTGCAAGAATTTTTTTTGTCAATAATTAAGTGCAAGAATTACTTCTATAAGGTTTATTGGGGTTTAAAATAGGTAACTAGTGTGTATCGTGCAATCAGATTCTCAATCTAATTAACAAGGTTAATTTTGACAGTTTGAATTGTGTGTGTGTTTGAATTTCTGAGTGTTATATGCTTTTCCAGTTAGGTTATGTTATCATTGAGCATTATATAGTTATCTTGACCAGCCATTTAAAATTTCTAACAGGTATATAGTATATTGGGTTACTTCGATCACTTAATCAACATCCTTTTCATTAATTTTTAGTATGCATTTACTTGGTTGTACTTAAAAGTGTAAATTATATCATTATCTCAGTATTCTTCATAGCTTTTGGTTACTAAGGCCCCGTTTGGGATTGAGGTGATTTTAAAAAAAGCCACTGTGAAAAAAAGCTGAGGGTCATTTTTGTGTTTGGTAAACTGAAAAAAAAGGGCTTATTTTGGAAGCTGCTGTGAGAATAAGCTGAAAATCAAAGGAAAAGCTGAAGCTGCTATTTGCTGCTTTGAAAAAAAGCCAGTTTTTTCAAAGCACACGGAGCTACAGTGCTCCTTTAATGAAAAGACACACTATCATCCTGCTTTTTTTTCCAAAAGCACTTTCACAAAAAAGTTTACCAAACACTCTACTGGCTTTATTTCACAGCCGCTTATTCTCACAGCACAGCCGCTTATTCTTACAGCAGCTTTTTTTCAAAGCACAGCAATACCAAACCAGCCCTAACTAGATGCTTTGCAAATCTAGTTCTGATTATTTGAATGGAAAACTTTGTGAAACCTTTCACATTGGCCATGATGGATGGGTAAATTGTACTCTGTGTGGCAAGGTGAGCTTCAAACTTCACACTTATTATTTTTTGGTCATCTGCTTCTCATGCCGATGAACAAGATTTTTATTAGAGGTTGATTAATTACATAATTAAGGACTTCAACTCCAGATAATTTTCTTTATTTATCCTTTATTTTTCTAATGAACTAATAATTTGTTTCCTTATTCAGCCACTGCATTGTGGGTGCGTTATATCGCGCCACTTGTACACCGAACTCGATTTCGGAGGAGTCGGGTGCTCAGAGTGTTTTAATGCATTTATCATTCAGTCAGGTGAAGTGATAAGTGGCGCGTAGGAGTTTGTGAATTTCTGCATATTTGTTCATCTCTTAGAGTTTATGGCCTGCTACATGCTAACAACCAATAAACCAAACAATTGAATAAGTAGCGGAAAAGTTAATGATTCAGGAAAATGCCAGTCCTCTATTTTTTTCAGCTGCTGGTGCGAGCAACCGGAGATATCCTGCACCTGCACCTGCACCTGCACCTGCACCTGCACCTGCACCTGCATCTGCATCTGCAACTTCACCTGCATCTGCACCTGCACCAGCACCTGCAACTGATGGTGAGGATGTAAGCAGTCAAATACCCCGAGTGGATGCTTCTACAGAGAGCCATTTACATCCTCAAAATCTGCCAAGGACGACGAGCAATGAGCAGCAGCTCCCGGAAATCTCTGGAAAGTATCCACTAATTTTTTGTGTCATATGTCGTATAGATGTTGAATGAATGAATTTGTATGTTATAAGTGTTTTTTCTTTCATTGCATTGAGTTCATTTCAACTGCAATTGAAATCACTTCATGCAACAATCATTACATATTACCATAAAACTATTTACAAAGCTGACATGCTTGTTCTCTCTAATGATGTGGATCCTACAATTTCACGTAGATCCCACTTGTATTAGAGAAAGTGTGTTAGTTTAGTATGTCCAAATAATAGCGCAATGTAGCGCCCTACATTTTATATTTAATTGATGTTTATATTTTTGAATCTGTGAGTCCTTGACCTAATCCAAGTTCAAGCTCGGAGGTTATTCTTTTGTTTGAAAGACAATAACCGCAACTGATACTCATCGCAATAATGCACGTCTTATCATACCAAAGAGAGCGGCAGAGGTGAGTCCGGTTCTCAAAAGTAGTACAGTATTTGATTTCTAGTACCAGTACTTGAGTATTTATCTGTTGCTAGTAATTAAATTAAGATTAATATATATATATATATGTTTGTGTGAATGACACAGGCCCATTTTCCAGCAATAAGAGAAAATAGAGGCTCCCCATTGCAATGCGGGATAGCACAGGACGAGAGTGGAGATTCACCTACGTCTGCTGGAGAAATGGCATGACCGTCATGTATGTGTTAGAAGGACTAAACGGTTACCAGTGGCGGGCTGGCGATAAAGGTAATTCATGCATGCAACTCTCTCTCTCTTTTCTTTTTCTTGTCAGTTTCATTGAGCTAGACTGGTGTATATTGTTTCAGTGGCATTTCACCGAATTGTTTCGGAAGGAAAGCTTCAAATCAGAACAATAAAGGCTGCTTCATCTGATCCACCAGCTCTAGCTAAGGTAATGCATGCTATGATATGCCTTTCGGTCGATTGAATATATATTTGAATTGTGGAACACTGCTGGGTTGTAGACAGCAGCCTTTTTCCTTTACCTACTTGTTCTTAATTTCTTGTATGATGAACCTGCTACAAAGTATTTATAGATGAAGTTTTGGGATTTGCTCTATAGCTCACGAAGGATCTATTAGAACTAAGATTCTTTTCTGTTTGCTCTTTTGTAATTTCATGCCAAATTCTTGGGAGGCAGAAGGGACCAGACACGTTAAAGTCTGGCATGAGTCTTTTGCTAGGTTGAAGACTCATGCCGAACTCTAGCACACGAAATTCTTGGGATTATACGATATATTTAAGAGTTAATATTCTCAATCATACCAAAAATCAAGCTTTATCATCCATAATTTTTCAAGATTTATTGACTAACTGTGATATCTTTTCTTCTAACATCTCCGATAGACAAGAATCAAGTCTGAAGAAAGCACAGGAACCACCGTCTGTTTTTTGATCAAGTAGTTGATTTTCCATTAAAAAAAAAAAAAAAACTCATGTTTCCGTCATTTAATTTACATGCACGATTTGTTTTTATGATCCTTCTGTAAACTTTAATCTTGATTCTCTTTCCAAATATTGTACTAATGTTCGAAAACAACTTAACAGAAGTGGCAAATTAACAGAGCATTTGACAACAAGGAGACGGAAGGAACAATTTATTAAATTGATATGCTTCGCTTTCCCGGATTACACCATTGATCGTTCTCTGTTTTATTTGACATTTTGAAATGTCAATATAATTGGTGTGATGCTGCATATGGAGTCTACTACCAAGGTGACCCCTAGGGTAAATCTCTAGGGTAAGGCTCATTGTAATCTTTAGGATAAGGGTATGTAAATCACCTTTCCCTTGATTTAAGGGAGGAGACTGATTTGGGTAATGTCTTTGTGTAAGGTTTAGATTAGGTAGGCAACAAGCCTTATTCTTTCTTGTCGGCTGCTTGCTACAGCCATCATTCCCATCTCTTTTCCCTCTCTTTTCTCATATATACCCGAATTCACTCTTGTACAAACATACATGAAATATACATTGAAACTTTAAACCAGAAAATCTACTACAATCCTAAACCAATTGAGATAATCTACACTAAATAGTGGACAAAAAGCTCAACCTATCCACTCTAATAATTAAACCCTAACCAATCCGAAATACAATACGTTCCACTAATCGTGCCCCTAAGTTGGTTGGACCGGTATTAATGGATTTGGATCCCATCTGGATCCAAATTGTTGGGATCCTAGGCATCATCACATCCTAGTCATTCATCGTGCATCATGCGGTCAGAAATCATTTGACTTTTTTTATTTAAAATTAAACACAAATAATACCTGACGAAAACTAGCCGCATGATGTACGATGAACGGCTAGGATGTGGGGATTAACAGGATCCCGACAAAGTAGATCAGTGAGGATCCCCTTCCGGTATTAATCACCCCTCACCATACTCCTTTATATATTCTTGCCACTTGGCACACTTGATTACTAATCTTATTAGCAAAAATCCAACACTAATCTCAAGGCCAAAATCAGGTCGAGTTTTCCAAACTCTGGCTTTAGTTGCACCTTTGCTTAAAATCAGTCGATCATTTTCATTTTGAGCCTCATAATCCAGATGATGATCCTTCGAAAAGTTTTCATTGTTGTGTCAAACATTGATTGTAATTTGTAACGTATTCGAGTTTGTTTATGATAGGGGAAAGAGGTCCAGAAATAGGAAAAAAAATATATGTAGATCAAGAGTTAGTTGATATCCATATTTGATTAACAAACAATTTCGAAAGATTCAATAAAAAGCTAATTACTTATGCCCCGATGCAAATAAGTGTCAAGTTAAAGCCACTACTTGAAATATATAGAAAACAAAATTCCTCACACAATTTTTTTTTTCTTTTGCACACTCTTGTACATATATATTTTTCCTTCAAATGTTGTTTTGATTGTGTTCAATCGAAAGACTATAAATAAACAAAGATGTACTGAAGGAGAAAATGAATATGTGATTCACGGCGCCTTGAAATAATACTGCCTAACACAAATGACATAATGCAACTTGATAACATGTTATCACCTTCGGGCATGCTGTCCCAAACAATCTTATAGATCAGATCAGTCTTCAATCCATGCTCACCCCACCACATATGGCCGCACATTATTGACTTCGATGAAGTACCCAGCTCTACAAGTTTGGTTTTTGGTTTTTAGTTTTTGGTTTTTGGCACTTTATATTTTGTAATTTCAAATGGGCCATGACTTGTTACATAATGATCGATTGGGTTCGTATTGTACCGAACAAGAAGCCCAAGAGGGCCAACAAGAACAGAACAATCAACCAACAAAGTTGCAAAGAGTAACCAGCCAGTTGTTGCCCACTTTAATCAGACCATATAATATAATGGTATCAACCTAATCTACAATCATATAATTAGACTCCCATGCCTTTCTTTTCTTTTTCCCTCATATAATTAGACTTTGATTCAGATAAATTGATGAATTGACGTTCTCGACTTTTCAGGTTGTTCGGACTCGCAATTAATTTTGGTTTGACGTGTCGATTTATATGAATTTGAAAGGAACAATAAGATCTAGAAGACTCATTAGTTTGCAATAAACGCGGTCGACATCCCTGTCTAAATAATTAACATTCGATTGATGGAGATTTTAGGAAAGTTTGATATTCTTAAATAATTTTATACGGCCAAATCTCACTTTTGGCCCCTGCAATATACTCAAGAACATTTAATTATGGACTCTTGCTCTCGGAGTTGACATTTTTCGATCCTCTGTCGTACCTAGGGGTGGGTTCGGTACGGTTACCGTACCAAACCCCTTGTACCAATTACCATACCGAACTTTCGGTTTGGTAAAATCTATTACCATTACCGTACCAAACTTTCGGTATACCAAAGTTCGGTTGGCATGGTATGGCAATGGTAATTGCCATTTTGTTTTGGAACAAAATCTGTTTGTTTTTTTAACCCAATTCAAGGGCAAAACTTTTTTTTTGTACCTTTATCTCATACATTATAGATTAAATTCATCTATTATTCATCATTCACAATTCACACACATAATAATTCAAATGATGCATCAAGATTCATCATGAAAATTAAGCTTACAATCCAAATAGAAGTTACGAATCAAAACAAATAGAAGTTAACAATCCAAATATAAATTAAAGTTTCAAACCAAATGAAAATTGGAAGTAAACTTCAAAAATGAGAATTCATTGATCAGTTATTCAAGCTTAAGATGTCAAAGCTTTTTGGGGAAGGCATTGAACTTGTAGAAGATTGAGTTTGTGTCAAGTCTACATTACAAACAAAAAAAACATATTAATTAATAGCAAGAAGAATTAAAGTTGAAAACCATTTAATAACAAATTTACTAAAAAAATTAAAGCATATCTTTCTTGTTTTCTCTTCTTCCATTTCCTTGTAAAATTGAAGCATATCTTCCTTTGGTTCCTTGTAGAAGTTTACTTCATCTACCCTAAGCCAACCACTAGTACGCACTAGTGCCTCCATTATTTTAGGAGTCAAGGATATCCTAAAGGGTCCACAACCCTCCTCCCTAGGCTAAATGCATTTTCACTAGCAAAAGTAGAAGTGGGGGTTACAAAGATATTTTGGCTATTTGTGAAAGAATTAGGAACTCTTTTGTGTTTGATTTCCACAATTTCAAGAGATCAAAGTCACCAACAACAATGCTAATATAAGTAGGGTTTTATTTTCAAATTATTGTAATATTATAAATATGTGTTATATAATTATCTATTATATAATTTCTAAATTATATATTATATTGTATTTTCGGTATGGTACGGTAATACCGTGGTAATGGTATCCATTACCAATACCGTACCATGAAATTTCGGTACGGTACAATACTGTACCATTATCGATTGGTACAAAAAATTTGGCACAAAATCGGTATGGCACGGTTGGCAATTCGGTTGGCACGGCAATTTGGCAAAAAAATCCACCCCTAGTCGTACTGTTGCGTTATTAGGGCTTTCTAATTTATTAATAAATTTGATACTCGTTTGGAAATGTTTTTAAAATGATTGAAAACGTTATTAGTGAAAACATTTTTTAGTCAAATCGTTGGTAAAAATACAAGTAAATTTGAGAAAAACTTGCTCTCTACAAGAAACACATAACTGATGCAGTGATGCTTAAATACTTTTGGATCTAAAACTATTTTATTAAAAAATATTTTCAATTATTTTAAAAGTACTTTCAAACTAGCTTTTTCTGCGATAGACTGTTAAATTTGTACCAGCATTGTCCTTTGCCTTAGAAACTACTCAAGCAAGATAACAGAGTAACAAAAGCTGCTGAGAAGTATTGAATGAGGTATGGAGAGTTGGCAACCATTTAAAGACCAAAAATTGACAACATTCCATCCCACCAGATATCTCAGTTGTTGTCAGAACTTACCTTCACATATAATGATTAAAGGGATTTCCGTTACTATCCTATAGCACATGGTCATGACAACATAAAGAAGGTAGGGTGGGGTAGCCAATGACATTGACACATGCTCTCTCGTGCAAAAGCAATCCATACATTTTTCTATCTATTTTCTCTAATCTAAAGTTACTTATTTAATGATATTATTATTTATTAAGAAGTGAAAAGTTTTAGATCTGATTTTTATTAAAGGTGAATTTGAATCACATTATTACTAACCATTTGTGAAGCTTAAGTCACCCCCTTAATGTAGACAATATCGGTTATTCAAAAAAAAAAGTTATGTAAAACACACCAAATTTTGTTACACAAGTGATGAGTGAGTATGGTATTTATTCATATGTGGAGTACTCATTTTAGACTTGATTTATTTTCAAAATAAGACTCTAACATGTATACAAACACGTCATTTAGTAAATAAACTTAAAAATGCACTCTTACTGCATATTTGTACAATTATTTGTATCATCTCTGATAGAGATGTGACGCATATGTGTTGGTGAGTCCTACATCTACTAGAGAGATTGTACAAGATCCACATATGTTGATGGATCCTACCTCTATTACTATTAGAGAGATTGTACAAATATGTAGTAACTGTAACATTACTCAACTAAACTTGATGAAAAAGTTGGGCTGATAGTATTACTACTAAATTTTTATTTTTATGGTAAATATGGTTTAGGAAAAAGATGCGATTTTTACCCAAAAAAAAATAAAAAATTCTGTACACTTTTTCTTGGGATTTAGATTGAGCAAATGAAACGAGAATTATATAACAAAGATAAATATGTACGTGCTAAATGAGAAAACGAGTGTGTTAGCACTGAGTGGTGGATTTGGATCCTCTCATGAGCCAGTGGAAAGGATCCTCCTGATCAAGTATTGTAGGTCGTTAAATTTTTTATCCTACGGCTACAAACAGGGATGTCCCTTTAAAGTTATAATAATTATAATTGTTGGATGAAAATTCAACGGTCTACAATACTTGGTCAGGAGGATCCTTTCCATTGGCTTAGGAGAGGATCCAAATCCCTGAGTGGTTCACTAAAATCCCTTGGCTAGAAACCTTACTTAGCAAATGATGACCCTAAACTTTTTTTAATTCCAAATAGCGAGCATAGACTTTTATAGACTGAATTATTACCAATACCAACTTTCAAGCCCTTTCAAGCTTTTAGGTGCAATTTTTTTCTGGTTGTCAAACGGTAGTGCTATTAGGTGCAATTGACATGCATAAAAGGGCATTCGATTATTATAAAAAGCAAAATATGTGGACATGGTGCATGCCCTAATTATTGGTTTGCCACAAAAAGAGGAAGAGCAATGTGAAAGACTCTCTCAAAGGGACTTTTGTCACTTTATAAGTTTGGAACGATATTTCATAATGTTAGTATGAGAATTGATGTTAAATTGTCAAGTGACAGAGAGTCCATGGTACTTTTGATAAAGTCCCTTAGCATTCCTCCTGTAAAATTAGAATTGAAATTTTATTTTTGAATATTTCTCATGTCAATATCATAAAATATTA